GCACTGTCCGGCCAGGCTGGAGCTCACAGACCCGGGAAAGCTGCAGTCGGCAGGGAGCTCCTCACTGAGGGCTCTGGGGAGCGAAGGCTGCTGCACTTCACGCGGCTCTGCTGTATCAAACCCCGTGGTGTTTGGGTGTTTCAGGGATACAAAGCGACTGAGAGGTTTAGAGTCTGCATACAGCCCAAATCTGTATCCTAACAAGTCAGCAATGGCATAGGAATTACAGAATCACAGGAGCTGGAAGGGACCCACAAGGACCATAAAAGTCCACCTCTTGGCTCTGCACAGAGCATCCCTGAGAATCACATCATACGCCCGAGACCAGGAGAGAATTTCCTGAAAGCGTTCCAGGCTAGGTTGGATGGGGTTCTGAGCAACCTGGTCCAGTGGAAGGTGTCCCTGCCCATTGCAGGGGCATGGAATGACATGGTCTTTAAGGCCCCTCCCGACCCAAACCATTCTGTGATTCCGTAAGAATCCATCAGGAAAGTCTCATTTCCTCCCAGGATCAGTGAGCAGCAGTGCAGGGATACTGCCTGCTCCCATTGAGCCTCTCCAGCTCAAAACTGAATTCAACTTCTCTGCAACTCTCAGAGGCCTCTGAGAGAAGCAACTTACTTGCATGTGATTCAAGACACAAAAATCCTTTTGTGGGAAAAAGAAAAGAATCTCAACTTTGTCATTACAAGTCAGAGGTGAAGGGATGTACACTGTGCAGTGGGATGTGAGGTTGATTTGAGCACACACATCTGGCTAAAAGGACAACTCAACCATGTTCTGAATTTATCCACTAGTGACCCTTACAGGAACAACTGAGACTACCTAAAAATAAAAGAGTTTTTATACTATTTCTTACAGTTCAGCAGACACAGAGCACAGAGGAAAACTAGAAGAGCCAGACATGTTTCTAGGTATGTTTATTAGACCAGGAATAAAAAAAGGGAACAAATGCCATTACACCATCGTTTTCTCAGTGAAAGTCTAGACCAGTTCATTAGAAGCAGAGACTGTTACTCCCTCCACTCTCTTGGTGTGACTCTGCCAACAGGTGACAAGCCCCACTCAATTCCAAGCTGTGTAAGCACCTGTAAGAGGATAAACCCCACGATTATGAACTCTGAAATCAAAGCAACCTTCTGACAGAGTGCTATTTCTATTGTATTCAGTCTACATTTCTTGTATCAGAACATGACCTCTCATAAATCTAATAAAGGGGAATAGATTTATAGTGAATTCATTCAAATATTTAATTTTCTATTTCAGAATATCCAGCTCTGGCATGACGAGTCTGGAACGTAAAAGCCCATCACCATACTGGTATTTTCATCTAGATATTTTACTGCTAAAAGCTGTACCTGTACAGGTTAGAAATCCCAAATGAAACAGACAACACTTGTGTTTCTGATGCATTTTTCAAATCAGGCAACAGACTGACACAGAAATTTGTGTAAGAACTCAAAATCAAAATATGAACTAACACAACTTTCATCTCTATCACCTTGTTATCTACTTACATAAAAAGCTTCTCAATTCTCACCACTGAAGTTATTTCCAATAGGTTAAGCCCTTGAGACTTCTAAAGTTTACAGCTCAAGTCACAACGGATCGGTAAAAAAACCAACTTACATATCCCCAGACAGAGGCGAAAACTGCAGCTCCACCAAGGAGGACCATAGTTCCATATTTATCGTGAAAGTCTGGCTCACGCTTGCGATGAGCCTGTCTGACTGCAGTGTGCTGGACGCCACGAGCTGAGGGATGGTCAAGAGAAGTACAGAAATCAGCTAAAATACACATTCAAGCCACTCACAATCCTCATCTCCCACCAACTGAGAGATAAGCAGAAGCATTAAAGGACTCAAAAAAGCAAAAAAAAAAAATCTTCTGGACTCAGAACCTAGTAATTCCTCCAAAATATGGGATATGCACAAATGCCTGATTTTTTTTTTTTTTAGTTCTCAGGATTTCTCTCTAGAAAGTTATTCCCTAAGTCTAATTCCAGTTTAAAACATCCTGTAAATTACCTTTCTCATTAACATGTTTTGTTTGGGCCTTCAGTGTAGAAGTGCACAAAACATCTTGTTTAGTACTTAAAGTGTTCAGATTTCCCTATGTAAATATCCATCCTGTCAGTGTGTACCTAATAGAAGCACTTTCAGGATGAAGCTGACTATCCAACAGGGCTGGGGAGGGAGGTGAAGGACATGGAAACGACCGTGAGCCTCTGCATGAGGTAAATAACAGAGAATGAAATGCAGTGAGATATCTGCAGATGATGCACATTGTAAATGTACACTATAAAAGCTACACTTATTAAAGAGAAGACAACAGTGATGAATCAAACTAGCAGCTACAAAACACAGATTGTCTGGTGGTTGTGTACAAATCATTAGGTGAGATCTGTGCATAAAGACAGACTTTACAGACTCTGATCTTTTAGTGTCAGGTCAATGGTTTGCACTTTACCCGACCAGGACCAGAGAAAATGACGGCAATACTCATAACATTGCTACTTCCCTCACATGCTCTCTGAGGCTGGACAAGGGCTTCATAAACATAAAAAAAAAAAGCCTGACTATCTACCGAGATGTGTTTCCTTCAGGGGCATGCACCTCGGGCTAAGCACACCATGAGCCAGGAGCAGATTTAGAGCATCAGATCAATCGCTGCATCACTGTCTCTAGCCCTGGTGAGGTAACTGCGCCCTTGGGCTGTGTATTGAGTACAGCTTGTCACCTCAACTTACCAGACCTGAATGTGCTCTTAGTTACTGTAGAAAAAGGGAACTCAAGGTCACAAAGCAGCCAGGAGGCAGAACAGGCAGAAAGAAAGCAAAGCAAGTAGGAGGCGAATGATGGACAGCCCGCACAAGGAAGCGCCAAAACGGCGGCACCCCCGAGACCCTCCCTCTGCACCCCGGGAGTCTCCTCCGCGCTTACCGGCGAGGTTCAGCGCGGCCCTGGCCACAGGGAACATGCTGACGGACGGACCGAGCGCAGCGCCTACCCTTGACGGCTGTGAAGAACAAAATGGTGGCTCCGGAAGTGCCGGCGGCGAGCAGGGGCCTGTGGGTAG